GTAGCCATAATTGATTATATCATCTCATCTCTATTAACACAATAAACATTTTTATGTTTGTCTGCCACATGTAAGATACAAAGCCAGTGTCTAAGGATGTATTCTATTTTAAAATTCATATCCTATTTTTTAGTCCTTTTTAAAAATATATATATTTTATTGATTTTTCAAAGAGAGGAAGAGAGAGGGATAGAGAGTTAGAAACATCAATGAGAGAGAATCATCGGTCAGCTGCCTCTTGCACACCCCCCACCGGGGATGTGCCCACAACCAAGGTACATGCCCTTGTCTGGAATCGAACCCGGGACCTTTCAGTCCGCAGCTCTATCCACTGAGCCAAACCGGTCCCGGCCCTATTTTTTAGTCCTTTTGAAGATGGATCATTCATAGGGACAAAAATATTTTAAAAGAGAAATAATTTTAGGTCACAGTTCAACTTTTGTAGTTTGCAATTCTCTGACTATACATTACAAGATTATATTTTGCCAGTGATTTTAGCTTTTGATAAAACTTAGGTAAATATTTTTAAACTAGTGGTCCTGTGTACAAAATTCATGCACGGGGTGGGGGGGGGGATGTCCCTCAGTCAGGTCTCACCCTCTCCAATCTGGGACTCATTGAATGATGTCCTACTGCCAGTTTACAGGGAATGGACCTAAACCAGCGGTTGGACCTCCCTCTCGCAATCCAGGACTGTTGGCTCTTAACCGCTCACCTGCCTGCCTACCTGCCTGATCGCCCCTAACCAATCTGCCTGCCAGCCTGTTTGCCCCTAAATGCCCCACCCACCAACCTGATCACTTCCCACTGCCCCCTCCCATGCCAGTGTGCTTGCCCCAGGCTGCCCCCCCCCTGCTGGCCTGCTGGCCCCACCTCCCCTCTCCACTGGCCTGCTCGCCCCCAACTGCCCTCCTGCTGGCTTGCGCACTCCAAACTGCCCCCCCACTGTCCTGATCACCCCCAACTGACCCCCACTGATGGCTCGCCTCCAACTGGCCCCCTGCTGGTCTGCTTAGCCCCAACTGCCGGCTTGATCACCCACAACTGCCCTCCCCTCTTGGCCACTAACTGCCTCTACGTCAGCCCCACCACCATGGCTTTGTCCAGAAGAACCTCCAGAAGCTCTCCTGGAAGGTCTCCCAGTCTAATTAGCACATTACCCTTTTATTAGTATATGTAGAGGCCTGGTGCATGGGTTAGGCCTGCTGGTTAGCTCTGAAGAGGGGTCCTGGATCAGGGTGGGGGTTTCCTTGGGGTGTGGGACAGCCTGGGTGAAGGGTCTGTGGTGGTTTGCAGGCCAGCCACCTCCATGGGGTGAGGTCCCTGCTGGGGTGGAGGGGGAGGAAGCATGGCCAGCCTGGATGAGGGGCTGGGAGCTGTTTTCAGGCTGGCCACGCCCACAAGGTGACCTATGCCCCAGCCACTCCTTGAGCGATGGTCAGGGTGGGTGGGTAGCTTGGCTTCCTCTGTCACCAGGGGCAATCCAAGCCTCCTGCTCTGTGGCCTTGGCCATCTTTATTGGGTTAATTTGCATACTGCTCCTGATTAGCTGGTGGGTGTAGTGGAAGGATGGTCAATTTATTCTCTTTTATTAGTGTAAATAGCTCTTATCTTTTTGAAGCTATCTTATTTTTACATTTCTAAAGCTGACTGTTAGCCTGTCTATCTGGACCAGAGAAAAACATTGATGAGAGGGAAACATAGGAATCAAACTGGCAATCTTTTGGTGCATAGGAAGATGCCCAACCAGCTGAGCCACATTGGCCAGGACAGTAATAGACTTTCATTTGATGAACCATACTTGCATTTTGGGAGTAAATCTCACTTGGTAATGATGTATAATTATTTTAATATGCGGCAAGATTCAGTTTGCTACTATTTTTTATTGAGGATTTTTGCTTCTATATTCATAGGGAGTAGTCTGTAGATTTTTTTTTCTTGAAATGTTTTTGTCTGGCTTTGATATCAGGGCATTGCTGGTCTTAGAATGAGTTAGGAAGTATTCCTTCCTCTTTAATCTTTTGGGAGAGTTTTAAGATGGATTAGTGTTAATTCTTCTCTAGATGTTTGGTCGACGTTTTTGTGACAGGACAGAATGAATTAGATCGCTTTTAGAGCTGTCAGGAGTGGTTCAAGGAACTAGAAAGATGTCTCGAGGACTGCAAGTTTCCATAAGCACAATCTGAAATGACTACTGCTTTAGCCAACTCACAAAAGCCCTCAGTGTCTGTTGGCCTCTTAGCTTTCTTCCTGGGCTTCTTTCTTTTAACTTATGTGCCATTTTACTTGGAATCCCATGTTCTATAGCAGCTTCAGTTGTGGAGATTGGGCACCGTCAGAAAGGAGACTTGATAATAAAAATCCTTTGTACAAACTGGAATCTTTAAATCACTCCTAAAGACTAGGTGAGTGAACTCAAATTCAGTATTAAAAAAGCTTAAGGCAGAAAAATTTTGCCTAACCACCACAGATTTCTGTTTTTTTGTGGGGTTTTTTTTTACCCCTTTAGTGAGGCTGCATTTTGCACAGATTGGCTCCTCCTTTGTTTCCCCTTCTTTATCTGCTTAAGACAAGAGTATTAATGTTTTCATCTTCTCTTCCAAGATGAAAAAAGCATTCATAGTTAGGTCCTTTTGCTTGAAGTTGTACTACAGAGGCCAAAACTATTTCCTTATAGGCCAAAGAAGGAGGCTTTGCCTCATTTTACTTTGGATTCTAACTGGGCATTTATTGTGTCAGCCACTATCTAGACAAAACTGACCTATAGTGACTATTCTTGTGTATAATGATTTTTAAACATTTATCACAGCTCCCCATGATAAGAAGTTTTATAGCATGACACAGTATATAACAAAAACATAAAGGACTAAAAAACCAATTCTTTTTTTTTAAAAAAACAACACATTTTTATTGATTTTAAAGAGAAAGAGAGAGGGAGAGAGAGAAACTCAATGATGAGAGAGAATCATTGATCGGCTGCCTCCTTCACACGCCCTGCTGGGGATCGAGCCCACAACCCAGGCATGTGCCCTTGATTGGAATCAAACCATGTGCCCTTGACAGAAATTGAACTTGCTTTTACCGCAGGCCGACACAATATCCACCGAGTCAGATCAGCTAGGGTTAAAAAACCTATTTTTTTTAAAAATATATATTTTATTGATATTTTACAGAGAGGAAGGGGGAGAGAGAGAGAGAGCTAGAAACGTCGATGAGAGAGAAACATCAACCAGCTGCCTCTTGCACACCCCCTACAAGGGATATGCCCGCAACCAACATACATGCCCCTAACCGGAATCGAACCCGGGACCTTTCAGTCCACAGACCGACGCTCTAACCACTGAGCCAACCAGTTTCGGCAAAAAACCTATTCTTAATCTTTATTTTTACAAAATGCAGACTGCTGTCTTCTACTTTGTTCTCTTTTTAAAATACTGATTTTAGTTTGCTGAACGGGTGTCATAACATGCTAATGGATGTGAACTTTAAAAAAATTCCTCTATGACCACCCCCCACCTTTTCCTGTGCATATAGATTTTCTAAGCTCCTATCCTTAGACTCTTTTTTTTAATTTTTTTATTCTCACTCAAGGATATTTTTTCATTGAATTTTAGAGAGTGGAGGGGAGGAGGGACGGAAGGGGAGAAAGATAGAGAAACATGGATGTGATAGAGACATCTCGATTGGTTGCCTCCACCTGCTCCTCAGCCGGGGCCAGAGATGGGACCTGCAACCCAGGTACGTGCCCTTAACCAGAATCAAACCCTTGACCCTTGGGTGTGCAGGCCAACGTTCTAACCACCATGGAACATCAGCCAGGGCTACCTTTAGACATTTTTAAAATATCTTTTTTATTGATTTTTAGATAGAGAAACATCATTTGACTGCCACCTGCACACCACCCACTGAGGATCAAGTCTGCAACCTGGGCATGTGCTCTGACCATGAATCAAACTGGTGCCCTCTTGTTCCTGGGCCCACTTTCAAACACTGAGCCATACTAGCCAGGCACCCTTAGACATTTTGATTCTGTGATCTGAAGTAGACCCCAGGAATTTAGATTTTTTATTAAGTGCCCAGATAATTCTGATGTAGCCATAGATGAGTATTTGAATTGTTGCACTTTTATTTTTTTTAAATTTTTTTTATTGATTTGAGAGAAAGAGAAACATCGAATTGTTGTTCCACTCATTTATGCATTCATTGTTGATTCTTGTATGTGCCCTGACCTGGAGTCAAAACCTTAGCATATCAGGATGATGCTTTAAAAAACTGAGCTATTGGCCAGGGCTTGTAGTTTTAAATATATATAATGATTTCAGAGAGAAGGGAGAGGGAGAGATGATAGAAAAATCAACGATGAGACAGAATCATCCATCGGCTGCCTCCTGCATGCCCCCTATGGGAGATTGAGTCCATAACCCGGGCATGTACCCTTGACCAGAATTGAATCCAGGACCCTTTAGTCCACAGGCCGACGCTCTATCCACTGAGCCAAACCAGTGGCTCACTTTTAATTTTAGGGCTACACTTTTTTTTTTAGGGCTACACTTTTTAAAAATATATATTTTATTGATTTTTTACAGAGAGGAAGGGAGAGAGATAGAGAGCTAGAAACATCGATGAGAAACATCGACCAGCTGCCTCTTGCACACCCCCCACCGGGGATGTGCCCGCAACCAAGGTACACGCCCCTTGACCAGAATCGAACCCGGGACCTTTCAGTCCGCAGACCGACGCTCTACCACTGAGCCAAACCAGTTTCGGCTAGGGCTACACTTAATTTTAGAAAATAAATCAGTTATTACCTCCTAAAGTTTCTGGACTCCAATATTCGTATTATTTTGTAAAATATGGGGAGTCATTTTGTGCCGTAATTGACAGATAAAGGACAATTAAATTCCTCCTGCTTGTAGAAAAAAAGCAGCTTGGGCATGTAGTACATTAAGTTACCCTCTGGTTTGTTCCGTTCAGTAGTGATATTGTCTTCTTTGACACAGACCAGTTTATGTCTGACTTGGAACACCATCCATCAGGTTCAGCAGAGAAATGGCCTAACCACACTGAGCTCTCATGTCCACTTCCTTTCTGGAGAATCTAGAGGGTGAGTGTTGTTTGAAATGTGTCATTGTTTTTGTGCCCAAATCTGGTATTTGCATGCTGTGGCTGGATTTGCATGTGTTACAAAGGAGGGGGAATACGTGGGCACCTTCTGGATAGGCCCACTCATTGTCTTTGGCACTGTAAGGCTCTTCCTTTTTAATCTAACCATACTCTGGCTCTCACAGTTATGCTTATAATTTTAGTCTGGATTTAAATAAAAGGCAAGTATTTAATTGGATCTATTAAACCATAGCAGAAAGAGGTCCATCTACATGAATCCTATGGCTTGGTTACTGAGTAAATTAGATTGCTTAATCAGAAGTGTAAGCCTACTCATTTCTGGTCAAGTATTCTTTCTTGATGGGAGGCAGTACGGAATGGAAATAAAGCAGGAAATTATTATATCAGAGGCAACCTGGATGGCCTGCCCTATTGGCCATGTTTCACTCCTGGTAGTTCATTTTAGAAGGATTTCACAGAAATGGAATCAGTGTTTGGGAGGCAGGGGACTAGGTAATTTAGATTTGGAAAGGGGCTTAGAAATCATGTTCACTGCCACAAATCTTTATATTTAGGATACCAAACAGGACACCACAGCCTTGGCTTCTCCTAGAAGCAGGACATACTGTGGTCTCACACCATTCTTGTCTCTAATTATGAAAGGAATAAAAGTGGCAACTAAATTCCTGAATATCTGTAAAACCAGAAGGATTTAACTCAATTTCCTCATATTATGGTTCAGAAAATCAGTTGAAGAAAGATTAATTGCCCTAGTTACCTCACAGCTGAACCTAAAAGATTAAAACTTATTTTCCCAGTGTTTACCCCATTGCTCTTCCTGTGTGTGAAGCAATGATCTTGGTAAGTGTTTATGTGGGGTACAGAGATTAATGAGTAACTAAGGCATGAACAAGAATTAAGAACATAGAAACAGCAGGCAGTATAGATAACTCCTTTAAGATAATAAGAAATGAAAGGAAAAAATTAGACATAGAGGGTAGTGTGGAGTCTAGGGTTTTTGTTTGCTTTCTTACTTGTTTGAAATAGGCTTACCCATATTTAAGCAGTGATGAGAAGGATCCAGAAGGGGAGGTGGGTATACTGATTAAAGAAATGGCCTAACCACAATGAGCTCTCATGTCCAGTTCCTTTCTGGGGAATCTAGAGGATTCTAGATTTTAAAAAACTGATGGAGCAAGGTGTTGAAAGAAACGTATGGGATCCATAGCACAGGTGGTAAAATGAGTTATGTGGATTTAGGACTTAATGGCTCTGGAACGCAGGTTAGGCCCCTAGAGGTAATAAATGTGGTAGTCAACAGTATATAGAAATGGACAAGTCTATACAGAGAAAATATACGAAGTGAAAAAAGAGAGAAATAACAGAATCTTCTGTTAATCCTAAAATTCTAATCTCATATCTTAACCCAAATTGAAAAGTTTTAGAAGTTTTTTCGTATTTCAGTTTTTACTGATACAAAAGCGTACATGCTGATACTTGAATATACTTTCAGGTACCTGTGTACTGTTTACTCACCTGGAGATTTAACCTTTTCTAGAGGAAAGATCTGTAAGACACTGAGTATAACAACACACATCTAAGTTTCTTAAAAAGAAAGGACTCTTAATAACAGGTCTAATCACCCCCTCAGTCAATTATGGTGGGGAAAAGTATCATAATTTTTCATTACTAGAATTAAAGCTAATATTAAAAGTAAAGGATATCTTCAATCATTGTGCATAATCTGTTCTGTGGTTACAGGCTGACTAGAGTTCAGGGTAAATTTTAAAATAACTGTTAAAAAGCTGGCATGATAGAATTCAAACTGGTTATTTTGGTTCTTGCTTAAAATATATATATATTCTTTCTGTGTTACCTTTTTGGTGGTGAGTTTTGTTTTTGTCAAATATATATCCTAGGGCCTGACTAACGTGGCTCAGTGGTTGAACGTTGACCTATGAACTAGGAGGTCACAGTTAGATTTCTGTTTTGGGCTCAATCCCCAGTAGGGGGTGTGCAGGAGGTAAACGGATCAATGAAATCATTGATGTTTCTATCTCCATATCCCTCTCTGAAATCAGTAAATAATGTGTGTGTGTGTGTGTGTGTGTATTTTTTAAAATATATTTTGTTGATTTTTTTACAGAGAGGAAGGGAGAGAGATAGATAGAAACATGTATGAGAAAGAAATATCAATCAGCTGCCTCCTACACACTCACCTTGACCAGAATTGAACTTGGGTCTCTTTAGTCCACTGGCCAATGCTCTATCCACTGAGCCAAACCTGTTAGGGCTATTTTTTTTTAAAGCTGGCTTAAAAAGTAATAATATAGCCAAAACCGGTTTGGCTCAGTGGATAGAGCTTCGGCCTGTGGACTGGAAGGTCCCAGGTTCGATTCCGGTCAAGGGCATGTACCTTGGTTGCAGGCACATCCCCAGTGGAAGGTGTGCAGAAGGCAGCTGATCAATGTCTCTCTCTCTCATCGATGTTTCTAACTCTGTATCTCTATCCCTCTCCCGTCCTCTCTCTATATAAAATAAATAAATAAATAAAATATATATTTTTTAAAAAATAATAATATAGGTTAGGCCCTGGCTGGTGCAGCTCAGTTGGTTGGAGCACTGTCTAGTACACCAAAAGGTGGTTGGTTCAATCCCTGATTGGGGCACATTCAGGAGGCAACTGATAAATGTTTGTTTCTCTCTCCCCCGCCCCCTCCCCCGTTTTTTTCTCTCTCTAGAATCAATGCAAAACATAGGGTAAACATTAAATAATAATAATAATAATAATAATAATAATAGCTAGGTTACTATAATGGAATTCCCAAAATGCAGTGACTGAACCACTGTTGGAGGTTTCTTTCTCATGGTAAATAAGAGATCGGGATTACTTTCATTTCTTAGGCATTGTCAGAGTGGAGTCATCACTTTGAGTTTTAGCTCAAAGTAAGGGGTAGGGAAGGAGAGGCCATTAAGCAAGTGATGAGGAAGATGCACACATCACTTTCACTTACATTTCATTGGAGAAAACAAATCATATGGCCATACTTAACTATAAAGGGAAAGCTGGGGAAGGAGTCTATAGCTGAGTGGCCATGCAACTAGGTAAACTCAGTTATCAGAGAAGAATGAACTAGGACAGTAACAGTTACCTTCTAAATTTTCAGGAACTTTTTCTGTCTTTAGCTTTTTAAGGCAAATTCATCATATTTTCATAAATGGGAAATGATTCTTCAGCTCATGCCATAAATATTGAATTAAGTATTTCATGTATTTAGATGGTGTTCTTTTGTTATTGTTTGTTTTAAATATTTTTTAAAATGTTATTATTTATTTCAGAGAGACAGGGAGGAGAGATAGAAAAACATCAATGATGAGAGAGAATCACCAATTGGCTGCCTCCTGCATGCCCCCTACTGGGGCATACTGGGCATGTGTCTTTAATTGGAATCAAACTTGGGACCCTTGAGTCTGCAAACCAATGCTCTGTCCACTGAGCTAAACTGGCTAGGGCTAGATGGTATTTTTATAACTTATCAAATAATCTAAAAGTAAATTTTAGCAAAACTGTGCTATAGAGTAGTAAACCAATTTCTCATTTATTTAAAATTATTTCTATCTCTTTACTTCCAAATTTCTCATTTCTCCAAGTGAAATTCAAAACATTATCACACCTACATATAGCCTTCATTTTATAAAATATGTCTCCATAAAATTGTTTACCAGAGAATGAATATACCTTTAATCTTATGGTGTAGGGAAGGGAAGAAAAGATAAATTTGCCAAACTTTGAATGTTCATTGCAGCCTCAAGATGAAATATATTAATATAAAGTGAAGTCTAATTATTTTGAAAAATCCCTTTTTAAAAAATGCTCAAGATGCTCAGTTGTTAGCTATAAAGGCCTTTGGACTTTTCTGCCTGGATTTCCCTGCTCCTCTCCACCTGGTGGGGAGACTTTATACCATTTCACACTTGTCAGCTCTAACTCTAAATCCTTCATCATTGGAAATAGCTCTAAAGAGGCCTGATGTTACTGAAATACCTCATTCTTGTGTGTAGAAATAGCTGTTCAGTGGATTTTAAAAAAATAGCTGCTTGGATTTTTAAAAAAAGGTGTTTTTTTCCTACAGTACATATTGTTGATGGCTCTACTTCTGTTGTGGTGGCACAAGCAATCCAGGTGTTGGGGTAGTAGGAGTTGAGGATGGGGTTACCACAAGTGGGCCAAATGCTATGACCTACATAACCTCTTAGTATGGCTGTTGAGGGTTGTTGACTCTTGTTCTAGGCTTTTAATTTACTTTAGTCTTCAAAGCAGGAAATGATAAAATTGCACAGTAGGGGCATAAATAACTATGTTCTTACTAGAGACCTGATGCACAAAATTCATGTACTCGGTGGGGGGCGGTGGGGGTTCCCTCAACCTGGCCTGTGCCCTCTTGCAGTCTAGGAACCCTCGAGGGATGTTCAACTGATGGCTTAGGAGAATGGACCTAAGCCAGCAGTCAGACATCCTTAGTGCTGCTGCAGAGGTGAGCCACTGGGCTCACCATCTGTGAGCCTGGCTTCTGGCTAAGCAGCACTCCCCCTGTGGTGCTGTGTTGTGTGGGGGCAACTCCTGTGCTGAGTGTCTGCCCCCTGGTGGTCAGTGCATGTCATAGTGACCGGTCATTCCACTATTGGGTTGATTTGCATATTAGCCTTTTATTATATTGGAGCTTAAATTGGTAAAAAATAAGCAAAAAAAGCCACCTCCCATACTTTGTAGACTAGAGTTTAAGTAAATCAATAAATTCATACACAAATACATTTAAAAGGAAATGAAAACTGAAATTGCAAGCATTTGTATTTGTAAGAAATAACTTACATATTGGCTTTATCAAGACTCCTAATGATTTACAGTATGGATTACATCATAGATTTATTTACTGGTAATAATTTGGTCTTGCTTAAGTTGATATTCAGATTTTGGTCGGTCACATTAGAAAGCTATCT